ATATATAGATTATTATTTTCCAAAATTAGGTTTTTAGTTTAACAAATGATTTGAGAATTGAGACTCTCCAGACTCCACGAGACCACTACCAGTCAACCACTTCTTTATGTAAGCATGTTCAGTCTTCACTTCACCAGAACAATAGGGTCGGGGACCATGTCTAGAATGGTGGTTTGACCATGGTTGACCAAAAAAAGAAAACAGGGATAGGATGCTAATCCCCATACCCGTCGGGGAGCAGGGTCAAGTATTGTAAAATCCGATCCATCCCCTCCATGTTGCCATGCCTAGTTAGATCTCCTACAAGTCTGACGTCATTTTTTAGAGTTATTTCAAGATAACAAGGTTGAAGTCATTCTTCAGAGTTAGCTCACCCGAACTCTGAAGTCTGCTTTTTTAGACTTAGCTCACCCGAACTCTGGAGTCTAAACTTTGAAGTATTCTTTTTCAGACTTAGAAGTCTGAACTCTGAAGTCTTCTACAAGTCTGAAGAGTATAAGTCTGAAGAATCATTTATCAGAGTTAGCTCACCCAAATTCTGAAGTCTTCTTTTTCAGACTTAACTCACCCAAACTCTGAACTCTGAAGTCTTTTTTTTAGACTTAGAAGTCTGAACTCTGATTTAGTAGGATTGATTTTATACTTCAGATTTATTTCAAGAGTATAAGTCTAAAGAGTCATTCTTCAGAGTTTTACTTCAGAGTTATTTCCAGAGTACAAGTCTGAAGAGTCATTCTTCATAGTTAGCTAGCCTGAACTCTGAAGTCTCTTTTCCAGACGGAGCACCATGCAGAGCCTCTACATAGTGCATGCAGAGCTTCTAGCTTGCCTATACAGAGCTCTGAAGTCTGAAGAGTTTTACTTCAGAATAATTTCAAGAGTATAAGTCTTGTAATAAACTTATCTATACGCCTTTATGACTTAGACTTAATCTTGTAAGCCAAAGCCCCTCAGGTTAGTCTGGCTTTTGGATGGCTTTGCTTCTGGTTGTTTATTTTAACCTTGGAAAAATATTTCAATCCATCATAAAGGAAGCAGAGAGGCTCTGGTTGATCTTCATGTTTAACTAGAGGGTCTTTGTCTCTGGTTATAATTGGAACTCAAATTCTTTTAAGTATTTAACATTTTCTTGACCCAGAGGCTATGGTTGACTAGAGGGCCTTTGGTTGGCCTTGCTTTTGGTTGGTGAGTCTAGAGGGGCTCTGGTCCTTAAGGACCAGAAGAGCTCTGGTTGGTATTGCTCTTTATGATGCAAGCTTTACCATGGGGTCTTTTTCAAAGATATTGGGTATTTGAATAACTCTAAACACAAGGTCTTCAGACTTCGTCTTCAGATTTGACACAAATACTTTTCTAAGTTTAAATTCAATTTATTGATATAGTTTCATTTCTAAATTCAATTTTATTCTAGAGTTAACTTCATTTTAACTTATTATTGATATAGTTTCATTTCTAAATTCAAGTCTGAAGAGTCATTCTTCAGAGTTATTCTTCAGAGTTATTTCAATAGTACAAGTCTAAAGTCATTCTTCAGAGTTTTATTTCAGAGTTATTTCAAGAGTACAAGTCTGAAGTCATTCTTTAAAGTTATTTCAAAAGTACAAGTTGGAAGAGTCATTTTAAAGAGTTAGCTCGCCCGAACTCTGAAGTCTGCCTTTTCAGACTTAGTTCACCAGAACTATAAAGTCTGAACTCTAAAGTCTTCTTTTTCAGACTTAGAAGTTTGAACTCTGAAATCTTCTTTTTCAGACATAGAAGTCTGAACTCTTCACTCTTTTTTTAGACTTAGAAAAAGAAGTCTAAAGTCTTCTTTTTCAAACTTAGAAGTCTGAACTCTGAAGTCTTCTACAAGTCTGAAGAGTCATTCTTTAGAGTTAGCTCACCCGAATTCTAAAGTCTTCTTTTTCAGACTTAGCTTACCCAAACTCTGAAGTCTTTTTTTTCAGACTTAGAAGTCTGAACTCTGATTTAGTGGTATTTATTTTATATTTCAGAGTTATTCAAGAGTACAAGTTTGAAGAGTCATTCTTCAGAGTTTTACTTCAGAGTTGTGTCTAGAATACAAGTCTGAAGAGTCATTCTTCAGAGTTAGCTCATCCGAACTCTGAAGTCTTCTTTTCCAGAGTGAGCACTATGCAGAGCCTCTGCATAGTGCATGCAGAGCTTCTAGCTTTCCTATACAGATCTCTGAAGTCTAAACAGTTTTACTTCAGAGTTATTTCAAGTGTACAAGTCTGAAGTCATTCTTCAGAGTTATTTCAAGAGTACAAGCCTAAAGAGTCATTCTAAATTTACTTCTAAGTTTAAATTCAATTTAATGATATAGTTTCATTTTTAAATTTAATTTTATTCTAGGGTTAACTTCATTTTAACTCATTATTGATATAGTTTCATTTCTAAATTCAAGTCTGAAGAGTCATTTTTTAGAGTTATACTTCAGAGTTATTTCAAGAGTACAAGTCTGAAGTAGCATCGTACTTTCGATAATCATTCATATATGTTAGAGAAGTTTCTTGACATGATTTAATTTTTTTAAGTTATTCCGTGTAATACACGGGATCAAACCTAGTAGTTATACATACATACATATATATATATATACATATATATATATATAAAGGGATCTAGACCTTTGATCATTTTTAATCTCATTCCACCCTATGAATTAGAGGTGGTCAAATGGGCCCGGCTTGGTCCGTAACCGCCGGAGGACCGGAACCGGGACCGGATAGGGACCGGAACCAACCGGGACCGGTAGGGACCGGTTAAGGGACCGCCGGTTATGATCCGGTTAGGGTTTTTGACGTTTTTTGGGACCGAAACCGGTTAAGACCGGGACCGGTTATGTAACCGGTTATAGGACCGGCCCTGCCCGGCCCGGTCAACGAAAGTCAACGAAACGTATATATATAATAAAACGTATTTTTATTGTGTATTTTTAAACGTATTTATAACAAAACGCATTTATAAATGTATATATATATATATATATATAACAAAACGTATTTATAATAAAACATATTAAAAATATCATATTACAAACATATTAAAAATTTATTAATAACCAAAAATTTGAAATAAAAAATAAAAAAAAAATTTAATAGGACCGGCCGGAACCGGTTATGGGACCGGAACCGGGACCACGACCGGTTATGGCGGGACCGGTTTTCGCCGGTTTTTGTCTTGGTTAGGACCGGTTAAGGTCCGGCCCGGGACCGGATTTTGGCCATCTCTACTATGAATTGCGTTTATTACTGGAATTGATCTGGTGCATCTCGGTGCAATGCATTAATGTTGATCTTCATAGAGGATTGATCAAAGGGTGGAGATTCATTATTTACCCATTTCATTATAATTTACATTTTCACTAGAACCCAACCCTATACACAAACACACACATACATATATAGGGAGAGTTTTATTTGAGAAGTGGTAAGTATTTAAGAAGTAAAGAAGTGACCTTACCCCTTTATACGGTCAATATTAGTCAAGAATTGTGAATTTGATTCGTCAAAGATTGCGGTTATGACTGGTCAAGCAAAAAATAGAGGGGTAGTTTCGTAACTTCTGCAAATAGGCAGCAAACAAGTGCATATGTGAATCAGTTAATTAGTTCATATGTGAATCATATGGGTTTATATGTGAATCAGTTAATTAGTTCATATGTGAATCACACGAGTTCATATGTGAATTAGTTAATTAGTTCATATGTGAATCACACGAGTTCATATGTGAATTAGTTAAATAGTTCATATGTGAATCACACGGGTTCACATGTGCACTTGTTTTGCCGCCTATTTGTAAAAGTTACGAAAATGACCCCTCTAATTTCAGCATACCATGCAAGGAATTATCTGGTGGTTCACAGTCAAAGCCATAAATTTTCGTCAGATGAAAGGCTAGGATCACTTCTCCACTTCCACTTCCCAGATCTATTGTTATATATATATATATATATATATATACACACACACACACACAGATAGGGAGAATTCAAATGAGAATCACTAAATATATGAGAAATAGAGAAGTGATCCTAACCCTTAGATGAAATGATTAACAGAAAGTGTCGGCGATATACAATCAATACACCCTCATCATCAATGACAGCAACGAAGTCTGGCCAATGATATATGATCTCGATCCACTAACTGTTCTAACAATCAAATTTGGTTTTATGGCAATTCTATCATTGATTCTTTCTCGATCATATATCACAATTCTAGGTTATCAAAGTTATCAAATTTCTTAATTCTTTCTCGACCAAATCTCGAATTTTTTCAATATTAATCTAATCCAGAAAGCGATTTTGAGCAAGATGTCAATTTTAGTCCTAAAACTATAATGCTATATGTGAATCTAATATTAATTTTGTGGATCAATTAAATAGTTCATATGTGAATCGTTGGGGTTCATATATACACATAACAATGAAAACAATTGCTATCATATAAGAATCTATGATTTCATATGTGAATTAGTTTCATATGAATCACACGGGTTCACAACATGCACATACAGTTCATGTGTGAATCAATTAAATAATTCATATATGAATCATATAGGTTCACATATACACATATAGTTTATATATGAATCATGCAGGTTCATATATGCCCATACAGTTCATATGTGAACCCATATCAGTTCATATGTGAATCATATGGGTTCACATATTCATTTGTTTGCCGCATATTTATAAAAATTATAAAATTACCGTTTTATCTTCAGCATAATTGTTATCATGCGACTAAATTACTAAATTATCTGATGTTGCACAATCAACCCTCAAATCTTGACCGTTAATTTTTAGTAGAAGGGTTAGGATGACTTGTCTACTTTTCATATATTTGATGCTTCTCAAATGAACCCATGAATATATATATGTAGGACTGTAACGAAATGATTACTATAAAAAAGTTGAGAAACGTGAAAACCAATCTAAGTCATGAAGTATATAATGCTTTATGTAAATGTTACCTTTTTATTATATTCTTTAATGCATATATGTATGCAGCTCAGCCATTTTACAACTGCATGATCTTTTAGGGTAAAAGAAGGCATCAGAATCAAGAACAATTAAGACACAGAAAAAGGAAAAAGATTTAAAAACATACAACAACTACTCCCTAATTACTTCTCAGTGTCAAATACAATCAGTGGGGAAACAAAAGAATGAGAAAATATTGAAGTTTTGGGTATCAACTAATAATGCATAATCAGTGGATCTGTTTCAGCTGAACAAGTTTCGGGTAACTTCTTCATCAGGATCAGATCAACCTCATTTTCAGCTTTACATACTTTGATTTCTTCAAGATTATAAGCTTCCATGGCTGGATTCTTGTTTGCAGTCGATAATGAAGGTTTAGAAGGAGATTTACAAGTTGTTGAAGATGAAGATGAAGATGATGGTGATTTTGTTAACTCTTTGGCTCTTTCAACTTCAACAACCCAATCTGTTTTACAAAGAACATATAGCATGAGCAAAGCACATGATCCCTGAGCTGCAAGCAACCCTAGCCATAGTCCGGCGAACCCCATTTTCAAGACGAACCCCATGACGATGGCTACCGGCATTCCGACCAAATAAAATGAACCCAAGTTGATATTGGCTCCAATGGTGGGCCTTGCACTGCCTCTCAGCACGCCACAACCGGTGGTTTGAGGGCAGTTGCCGAGCTCGCATAGCCCGACTATCGGCAATGCGACTGAAGTGAGATCAAGAATGTCGGAATCGTTGGTGAAAAACCGACCCCACTGGTGTCTCATTAATGTTGTGAACACCATTGCAACAATGCCTAAAAAGGCAGCACAGAAAAGGGAAACAATCATCGAAATCCGAGCCTTAGCCGGCCGGTTCGCACCGAGCTCGTTCCCAACCCTAGTCGACACCCCAAGGCTCAATGCCGACGGGAAAACATAGACCAACGAAGTGGTTTGGATTAAAATCCCCATTGAAGCAACGGTTGCTTTAGGGTTTAACAGTAACCCACACAACATTATCATCAACTCATACCACCACCACTCGAGACACACCGAAACACACGTGGGAATCGCAAGTGCCAGCAACGAAGACCAGCCACGGAGACAATCGGCACTTGGTGCCACCCACGAGTCCCTGTAAACCCCCGAGAAGTACACAAACGTGAAAAGAAGAAACAACAGATTAAGATTAGTGAGAACCATTGCAATTGCCACCCCAGCAATCCCCATCTTGAAATACCCAACAAGCAAGAAGTTCAATGGCACATGTAAGACAACCGAAACTGCGGAACAGTAAGTTAAAGGTAGGATGATGTTTTGAGCTCGAAGATAAACACGAAGAGGGTGAAGAAGTGACAGCAAGAAGAGGTCCGGAATGGCGAAAACGATGAAAGTGTGAGCTGCAGATGAGATCTCTTCATCTTGGCCACACCATGACAAGATAGTCTTCATGTTGAACCACATGAAAGAGATTGGGAGACAAGTTGACACAAGTAAAAGGACTGTTCTTTGTAAAGTTATCCCCAGAAGTTTCATTTGTTTGGCGCCATAAGCTTGACCACAAATGGGTTCCATACCCATGGCTAAGCCGGAGATAATGGAGTAACCGGTGATGTTGGCAAAGCCGATGGAGAGAGAGCCACCGGCGAGTTCAAGCTCACCAAGATATCCAAGAAACAGCATGGAGATCATAGCTCTGGAGTATAGTAATAAGCCAGTGACTGCTGTTGGTCCAGAAATCTTCCCAATGGCTTTGATTTCTTCCAATGCCTAAAGACAAAAAACAAACAATTGTTATCAATCAACACCTTTCTCTCAATCGTTATCTTTAAAAAATCCAACTTCCACTACAGATTTTAAAAAGCTAATTTCTTGAATCAACATTCAAACCAAAGACTTGGTTACCAACTGCCTTTAGGCTAACTGATCCGTATTGAATCATCTTTTCTAAACTATATGGTTAAAAAAAATAAAACTTCCACTAAAGATTTTGACAAAGATTCTTTCTTGAATCAACATTCACACACTATTAACCAACGTGCTTTTGGAAATCAAATGATTATATATGTATATATATATATTGGAAAGATGATGTTACCTCACAAGGGGTTGGCCATGAATGAAGATGATGATCATCATGAATAGATTTAGGGGGGTCGTTGTTATGATGATGGGTATTCTTGGAAATGACAAAATTGGATGGGGAAGATGGTGTTGGATTACACATGGCTCAAAATTCTTGGTGTTAGGGAAAGAGGGAACTAACACAATTATCAAGTTAAAAACTATAATACAATTATATGTATATATATATATATATAGAGAGAGAGAGAGAGAGAAGGGGGGGGGGGAGAGAGAGAGAGAGAGAGTGGACAAACACAAAAACAAGAAAACAAACAAAAAGGAAGAAAGAGAGGGATTGTGGGTTTAGTTGGTAGCAAAGCAAGTACTACTACTTGTAATAGTTTGTGTTTTGTTTTCTTAGTGAAAGAAAGATAGAAAAGCTATAAGGTTTAGGAAGTGATGGAGTCTTGAGGCCATGGGAGTTGGGTATATATATACTTAAACGGGTCGGGCCCTACCAATTTGAATTGCTCCCCACAAACTTGTCACTGTTAGAGAGAGAGAGAGAGATGCCATGGAAAAAGCGGCTACAAGAGTTGTTTAATTCGCTTCAACAAAAGAAGAAGGGTGGGGTGGGGGCCGACCCATATCTTTTCATCTTCCTTTATAGACAGACACATACATATATATATAATCATATATATATATATAGTGAGTAATCCGTGTGAACGACATATTGTCATATGCCTCATGCTTTATTTAACAGGACTTGTATGTGAAATGACAAACGAGTTTAAGAGGAATTTTTATCCGTTTCTATGAATAAGAGAGTAAGTTGGGAATACCATCTATGAGTTCATCTTTTCTAACAAAAGAGAATTAGATATCTTGATTTTATTACATATAAAAAGCAATTTATGTTGGTGATTTTAGTGCAATTGTGATGATTTAGATAAGATCGATGGGCTTCATTGGTTATGCTATAATATGAGTTAATTAGGTGTCGAGTTTCTTGAGTGGTTCCAAGAGGCATAGCCCCTTGACGGTAGTTTTCTAAACTAATTCATAAAAGTGTATGTTATTCGAAAGGCACGTTCTTCACTTCAAATTGTGAGACTGCAGTTTAGAAGGGAAGCTGTCTTCTGAACTTTGGTGCAGTAACCATTGTTGATCTTATCCGTTAGTAGTTATTTGATAATTGATCTTACCTTCGTATAACTACTTAACTATCCCAAATAAGGGATAAATAACAACCTATCTAAGGGATTTCGATCTCATTATAACACGAAATACACAATATCTGTGTGTTTTGCTCTCGATTTTGCCTACAAATCTTGGGTACGTATTTGAGTTATATGTGAGTAAATTTCATGATACCCATAGGCCGCAATAGGGTTGAAATATTATAACAATAGATAGTGACTCCATTCACGATCCACATAACGATCCGAGTTCTTACTACATCGATATCTAATCCCTATATCCATATTTCTGAGAGTTAAAAGATGTCTCATCAAACACATTATTAAGTTTTTAGGGTTTTCATCCTCAAAGTATTGCATCTCTAACATCTTTGAGCATTTGTGAGAGGCACAAAGCTCATATAAAAATACCTATGTCCTTTGTTCTCATGCCATGAATCATTCGATTTCTCTAATATTATAGTTCTCTCTACGGCTAAAGAATGAGTGTGTTCTTGATCCTACCTCCAGATGTTGGACGTTGAAAGTGATGTGTTGTTTATAATATACACTAATTAAGGCGTTATTAATTAAATGTTTGTAAACCTTACATACAACTATCCACTATATAAAATCCCCTTGTGGCCACGGAGGTTCAAATGCGGTGACTCCGGGCTATCTGCAAAACAAGTGGTCGCTCTGGGATTAGTCGACTCGTATAGCGGGTTGTATATCTAGGTTAATAAAAAAAAACTATCCACTATATGTTTTTCTGGGCATTTCTCCTTGTTTGTAAAATTTACATTTTATTTCACATGTGAATATACTCCTCTTGTTAGTATCAAAGAGATGTCAAGATGAAATGATCATGCTTTTGTGGTAGTGAACGGTTGTTTTCTTTAGAAGCTTATCTTGTGTGGTAGCATTTACTTAAAACGAAAAATGATTTTTATTTTTTTTATTTTGTGGTATTAATAATTAAGTTTTGATAATTCCAAAGAATATTTGATGGAAAGAAAAATGAAATATTTAAATTTGATGTATAATTTAATAATTAAACATACATTATTTATTGATCAAATTTAGAGGGTGTTTAGGATTACTTATAAAAACAACTTATTGACTTATTCCGGTGTGGCATCGGTAATAATCATTTTTGAGTGTTTGGATAAACAACTTATACCGGTGTTAAATCGGTAATAAAGAGTTTTTGAAAAAGTTAAATCATTCTAACTTATAATAAGTTGATAAACACTTTTATAAAAAAGCATAAATTATTTCAAATAAGCAATCCTAAACATCCCATTACAAAAAGATAATATTAAATAATAATAAACTTAAAAACGATAAAGACTTGAAATTATGTCCATAAAATTATAAATTTTATTGGATGGATGGAATATAAAATTTGTTTTTCACCGCCAAAAAAGCGGAGCCCAAGAGTTCTATTTTTAAGATAATGTTAAAATGTCACTTAATTTGTGGTTTCCCTCCCCCTTTTTGTGAGTTTGCAACTTTAAATAAAAAATATTTGTATAATATAATGAGATATATCTCAATTTTAATGTTTGGTTTTATTATTTATCTATGTCAATATAATTTGGTTTCTAGTGATTTTAAAAAAGATTTTATTTTTAAATAAAATATAAATTTAAATATACATACACATATATATATACACACATACATATGTGTGTGTATATATATATATATATATATTGATGAATTCAGCTTTCAGTTAGTAGGTTTAGTGAGGATAATCTTTAAAATTTACATCTTTTTAGGTCCCTAATACCATCCACCAATCTCTTGCAAATAACCCATAAAAGGGTTTTGTGGTACTAGAAAAATATGATCTTTAATATCAAGGTTTGACGTGTGGAATTAAATGGATGGAATTGGAATCAAGTGTGAATCCATGCAAACATTTTGACATGACCTTGGCCTAATTGCCACATTTACTTCCATCCATGAAATCAAACTCTCTCTCTCTCTCTCTCTCTCTCTCTCTCTCTCTCTCTCTCTCTCTCTCTCTCTCTATATATATATATATATATACACATTTATGTAAAGGGTAGTTTTAAACAACCACAAGGGTGGTGTCTAATTGGTTTAAGATTGGCTTCAAAGGTCAAAAGTACCAGGAGGTCCTAGGTTCAAATCCAAGAATGAATAAAAATCCTCTTTGTGGCCATGGAGGTTCAAATACAGTGACTCCGAGCTATCTGCAAAGCAGGTGGTCGCCCTGAAATTAGTCAGCTCGCATAGCGGGTTGGATATTCAGGTTAATAAAAAAAAGGTGGTTTTAAACGAGAATGTCATTCAATTACAACAACACAAGAACACTTATATTACATGTGATACTATAGTCAATTCCATGTTATTAAGTATTTTTACTTTTGAAACCAAGAGTGTACATGCGACATGGTTCACGACCTAGACACTCTTATACAGCATCACATATGATTAAATACAGTAATATTGGCATTCCCTCACTTTTGTGAAGTAAGGATATTATGTACGGATTGACTGATGTTTGGATTGAATTAGATGACGGTCAGTCTTAATCAATGTCGGTTGTGGAGTGTTAACACGATGTTATAATATCGTTGATAATAACGCAACAATAAGCTTAACTAACAACTTAATTAAATGGGTTTAGTTTGTTTTAGTATGAAAGTAAATGTGTTTGGATGTAAGTGATAGGAAGATAGGTGACATGGACATGGTGGCCATGGAAATGTTGGCATATTCCAAGACATGAACCATTCATGCATGTTGTTGCATCAAGAAAGGGGACCATAACCATAACCATAACCATAAGGTCCGTATAATCATTGCCTTTTTTTTTTTGCCTTTCTTTAAATGTACGAGTTATTAGTTATTTATATTGTTATTAGAATACGGTTTTTATGGATGATGCTTGTCGATAAATGGTTATATAATACTGACAATAAACAGTTTTACTGAAATTCCTATCATCTATTTTCTTACGAATACCAATATTGTATGTAATTGACCTTTGTATAACCAAGAAATGTCGTTAATCCTTTCTCAATGTTATATACCTTTATAGGAAGAAATTGTTATGGATTTGGGCTAAGAATGTGGGAGAGATCCGTTATAAAGATTTCTTGAGATCTTAAACCAAAACAAGTTTGTGGTAACCGTGAGGTCCAATATGAGCTAATCATTTTGTGATATTAATTGTATTATCTTAATTAATAGGTAAATGGCGTTTTAGTAAAATGATTAATTATAATTTAAATATTTTTCTTATTTAATAGTTATCAATCAAGAATTCGGTTTCCTTAATAATCTCAACAAAATTATATCACAGTCATGTATCACATTGTGGTAGTGTGCCCCATCTATTTTATTTTTATAGAGGGGTAAAGAGTTTATTATACAAAGTATGTAAAAAATGAGATTCTATTTTATCTTCTTTTTTATTTCTCCTCTGGTTCAAAAAGAATGTTAATACTTCATACACATATACATATTCGAAGGTTAAAGTTGAAAGATTCAATAGAGTAGTTGAAATAGGCACAAGGAAAGAGCAATAGGCTGGACCAGCCTACAAAAACAAAACGGTCCCTCCGTAACCAGTCATCCATAATATCAAACAAATCATTTTCGTCTTTGGTAAATTTACTCTTCAAACTCCTCACACCCAATGGCATCGACGACGGCAGGATGCAAGGGCAGTGATGAAGAGCATATAACGATGGGGCAATAAAGGGTGGCAAAGGGAGCGATATCGTTGGGTGCTAACAGGTTTGAATGTCGTAGGTTTGAAAACAATAAAACTGATTTAGGTTCCTTTTACTTTTAACTTTTCTAGTCTATTACAGATAGTTTCTCTTGAATTGAAAAGATATAAATAACTCATTTATAAAAGTTCAATGATTCATTTATTCACTGATAATGGAAAAATTCAATAGTTTGCTTATTGAAAAATAGTTCAAAGACTTTGATGATTAAAAATAAGAAAATATATTGAACTTTTTTATACTTTCTATAATGAAATAACATATTTACTTTTTTTTAATTAACCTGGATATCCAACCCGCTATGCAAGCCGACTAATCCCAGGACGATCACCTACTTTGCAGATAGTCCGGAGTCACCGCATTTGAACTTTCGTAGCCACATGGGGATTTTTATTTCTCCTGGTATTTGAACCTGAGACCTCATGGTACTTTTAACCTTTGAAGTCAAACTCAAATCAATCAGACATCACCCTTGTGGTTAATGACATGACATATTTGTTGTACAGAAAAATAGTAATTGATATAAGCATTTAAGTATAAATTATTCATCATACAAAATCTTTTAATTTCTAAGATATTCATACATTACCATTTTTTAAATGTTAAAAAGTAACCATTTTTATATATAAAGTAAATCAACCAAATACACATATTTAAGTTTTTTTGGAAACCTTATCACAAAATTGATACATTTCCCAAAAATAAATATAAAACAATTCAATTTTTATTTACAATTACTCTCTTCTTGCATTGTACACTTTTAGTATACTATGATTCATATGTGAATCCAACTAATGTGTTGCTTTTTATTCCTGAATAAATGCTTCTCTTTGGGGAAGCATTATGGATACATCAATCCATGTCATAGGCTCATAGCTTAGCTAATTTGGAATAAAAATCTGCTGCCCTAAATTTCATTGTCCCACCAATCACGTGAAGATAAAACACTTTTTTATTCAATATAAAGTTTATTTAATATGTGCAATTTCTTGATGATAGAGATTCAAAAGAGAACATAGTTCAGATAAGAAAGCATGAGAACACCTATATCACATATGTGACCTTATACTGAAATCATATGTGATTATGGACGACTTAGGTCACATGCTAACTGTGTACTGTGAAATGGGTGTTCTCGTGTGTGTTTCTTGTTCTCGTTTAAACCGGAGATCTTTATCAGCTCATTTAAATAAGGTGTTTGCTATATATATATATATATATATATATATATATATATATATATANTATATATATATATATATATATATATATATATATATATATATAGCAATTGCCTCTGGTTCTGCCCTCCTAACACACCTATCACTTTTAGCTTTCTTCCATCAAGGAAGGGTATTTTAGACATTTCACAAAATGCAAAACAAGTATCTGACAATCAATCCAATGGGGTACGAAATTTCTTGAAAATGAATACATACCTTATTCAAAAGCTCCACCTTGTTTGGTTTGGTAACAAAGATTCTGTAAAACAGAGAGCTTCACAGTACACATTGCATTTATGGTTTTAGAATATACCCTCTTACCTCTTTGTATGCATCTCAAAGTGATTACCACTAATTTATGTCGATGAATCTTTGGTTGAGAAATAAATATGCAATAACATTGTTCATCTAACAACAAAAGTTACTGCAAAAAATTAAACCAAATCTCTGGTAATTTATAGTAATTCACCTAATAATGCTACATAGATCTTCATTTACCACAGCCTATTCATATGTTAATGTGGTTACAAGTGAAATGATACTGTAGAAAGAGAACGCCAACAACACCGATCAAAATCATACAAAGTACGTTTTTTTCAACCGTCACTATCACATTAAACCTACCTGTAACATTTACACGCAGACTCATATGTATCATCGTGTATATATAAGGGAAAGGTTCAAATAAGAAAGGTAAAAAGGTTGAGAATGCACAAATAAATGATCCATATGTGAATCACTGGTACACCTGGAACAATTCATTTGAAGATGCATATGTGAACCATGTTTCCTTTTACCAGTGTCTTTCTTATTTGAACCTCCCTATATATATATATATATATATATATATAATAAGAGAGAGAGAGAGAGAGGATCGAATGAGAATAGGGTCAAAATAAGAGAACAAGAAACCTGTCAAATCACATGTGATTTTGCATGCGATTACGGATCAGAGCAACGCAAGGGTGAACGGCCGACCTGGCCGCGAAGTCGCTTGAATCACATGTAATTTTAATGTAAAATCACATATGATTTGATCGTTTTCGTGTTCTCTTATTTGCTTATTGTTATCGTATGAACCAAACTCTTGTATATATAATATACACACAAAGACGCAAATGGACAAATGTAGATGTTTGTAGACATGCATGTGGAAAACATTCTCTAGAATAGAACAGATCAAAGAGATGCAAAAATGGAACTACAAGGATCAATGCCTTTCAAATCAAACTTTAAAGGACAGAAAATGCGCACCCATTTCTCTACTCACTTTGGCTAATTCTAATATTCCTGCTAATTAAAACATTTCATGAGGCAATAAAAGGATAAAGAAGATATATTCTTGACAAAGGGAATAATTCCAAAAAATGCTTCATGGGCATTGGGTAGCAACCATTGCAAAGATGCAATGAAGGCAAACCAGAACTTTTTATCAATGCCGATAAATGTGAGTAATTGCCCATGAAGAACTTATGCCGTTCCAAAGTTAGGAATAAAACAGAATAATCATAAAGATGAAACCAGAGGAGGAAAAAGGATACACATAAAGGGAGCATTCTTTAGCTTTAGGTGAACAAAATTAGCACAAATGGACATATCTAATGAGTAGCATATTTCCACTTGTAAAAGCATATGGCCAACGATTGAGCTTCAAGACAATTATACATCAATTCCAACAAGAATCCAAGCATCATAGTTGAAGCACTAATGTGTAATCAACATCGCTACCTTCATTCAAGAAAGGCAAACAAGTAGGGGACCATTTCTAAACTCTAAACTTTCATGGTGCAACCAAGGCTTACCATCTTTGCGATGATTGGCAGGAAAGTATTTTGTGCAGTCTATCTGTTGCATTATGTAAACAGATTGTTTCTATGACTCGAATCTGTAACATTTTGGTAGAATATAACTGTGAACCAAAAACATATGGTGCAACAAACGCAATAGTTTATGCCACATATGCACCTCGTACATATCAGCATAAGGATGCAAATGAAAAAGAGAGACAAAAGGAATAAAGATTATAAGTATAGATGGAAGCTCCGTTAGGAACCCAAAACTGATTAGGAACCCGGGAACCGTCCACGGCACTCCACGTGTCTCTATTCAAGATGAATATTCATCGTGAATAACACATTCATGATGAATATGAATGTGTTATCCATCATGAATCACACATTCATGATGAATATGAATGAGTTGTGGACGTGCTATTCATCATAAATCCATATTCATGATTAATAAGTTACAACATTCATGATGAATAACACGTCCATAATTCTGATGAATATGTCACTTGTCACGTTGCGGACGGTTCTCAAGGTTCCTATTCTATTTTAGATATAATCCAATCGCGATTACTATAAAGAGAAGCATCAAATTACGCTGAAACCATTTTCCAGAGAATAAAGATTATAGATATCATTATAAGTAACAAAAGCTATTTAGAAAGTCGAGATTATTGGTGTTGGCCAAAAGAAATGTACTAAAAAAACAAAATATAGTACAACAATACCTGAGTGTCGAATTTTGGGGTTTCCGTGGAATGGCCAAGATGGGAACAAGTCCACTGGCAAAGGCTGCAACTGATGACTGCTACAGTAAAGGCTGGAGAGTCGCTATCAACAAACAACTGGTCCCATGGTCCACTTCCAAGAGAGATGACAACCTATTAACACAAACCAACAGCTTAATCAAAATTGCAAAAACCTAAATGAATCATGCTCAAGATTATTACTTGACATTGATTTGCAAGTACCATTGTTCACTTTCTATATCAGTTCAAAAGCGATTACATTTGGACCATAATAACTGAAACATCAACTAGAAAGCACAAAAGGATATGTGACCAAGACAAATAGATAAGAGACGAGAAAGACTGCTGCATATCAGAAGAGACAAATGGATCAAATCTGATTCCTATTCATTGACAACACCCATTTCAATATTTTTTAATAACATGTGGTTTCTAGCCATTCTCTACAACTTATAGCAGATGACAAAAAAAATATCAAATGGATACAGCCAAGCATAGATGTAGAATGATGTTGGTTAGATGTGTGAAGGATATAAACTGATTTTGTATTTCTAAAGGAGACGCATGTTACATTATAAGAAATCACCACCAACACTCCATTACCTGACAAATAGGTGACTGTATCAGTGATTAAATAAAGCCCATTTGGTGGTGAATGCAAGATTTTTACAGTCATCAAGACAAAATAATATTCAGGATAATATATTATTTTCTGAAAAAGGATTCCATTTCGTCATTACTGTACAGAAGTAAGCAAATTTTCTGTATCTTATCCGAGAAGAGATGTCCATGTATATATATTCCTACTAGGATACTACTTTAGGCAAGTATGAAAAAGGTACTAGAAACATAAACCCAAAGTACCTACTTTTAGCTAGCCCCCGTCCCCCTCTCGGAGCATTGATATTAATCATGCCCAACTTCTTACAAAGATAACCAACTCGAACCCCATTTAATGCTTTCATGAAGATGTCCACTAAATGTTCTCTGGTCTTAACATATACTATAGAAATTAAACCTTGTTGAATTTTCTCTCAAACAAAATGACAATTAATTTCAATATGTATAGTCCACTCATGAAATATAGGATTGAATGCAATATGAAGGGCAATTTGATTGTCACATCACAAAGTTGCTGGAACCAAAGTCTAAGTCCTTATTTATGTCGATGAACTTCCCACTTTCTCACAGTATCAAGAATCACTCGAGTCTTCATTTGTTTAGTTACTGCCATAGCTGACTCACATAAACGCAATACATGTCTTCTTTCCTTGTCCTCCAAATGAGTGATTGATTCTAGTGCCATTCCTTCACTCATGCTTCCATTCCTACTGTTACTTTATTAAATCTGAAATGGTGACAATATAACAAGAAACATGTGCAGAGGGGGGCGAACACACCTTTTGGAAAAAGTTCTGTGGAATATTAGAATATGATGTATATTATAACCTTCAAAGATATGGATTACAATTGTTGGTGTGAAATTGAAAACAATAATCTATACCCTGTGACAGATAAGATGAATTATGATCGAAACAAAAACTATCCCATATCTGCTATGTGATTGTTCTACACTTGATTGCAATTCCAACAAGGTTTCATCCACTGTGTGAACTGCAAAAACTGTATGTTCTTGAGAGTAAATTTGCAGCTTATGTAAGTCTTTATATGCACGTGTACTTGTGTGAGAAAGGAGTCACTTGCATTTATAGTAGATTCTGGAGGGAAGCATAACCTCATAAAGTAGTCCTTCTGAGGTCTTCATTTGGATAGCCTTCTGAAGAGTCCATTTGTGATGAACATCTTCAAAGTCGGGTCCCTTTCTAATAAACTTGATCGTGCACAATCTTCATTATGAAATAGGAACACCTGATGTCTTGGTCATCAGAAAATTGATCAAATCTTCAGAAGGCTTGAATCTCTTGCTATAAATCAGCAGAAAGTTGATCCTTAGCTAATCCTTGAAATCCTTCACCACTTGCCTTCTGAACATTTCTCAAAAAGGTAGTATTGTCTTCTTAACTTTACATCAAAATTTGTCCTATACCCCAGAAGCCATCTGCATTATACGTGTACAACTTACGTGGGTTGGATTATTGGACACAACTATGTTGCACATGGATCTATGCTTAATGCAGCAACAATTGTACTTTATGAAGTGGTTCCAAATTAGCCAGAACCTAGACGATGTGGGAACTCTGTTGACAAGGTGAGAATATTCTACATTAATTGGATTGATGATTGACTTAAGGAAAATTGTAATAGTCATTACCATCAAAAGAACCTATGTCTTTTGTGTTATGGGTTATATCCTCCTCAGTCCTCACTTGTCAATTCTTTGGAGACGCATCTCACATGATTGGAGGTTGACACCCCATTGTTGAAATTTAAGGCTGAGTTGGATTTGAATAAGGCTCAACATGGATTTCCGGTTCCTATTCTTCTACTAATGGGATATTTTTGTTCCAAGAAGTTTAACATGTATCATGTTGAGTATAGAAGAAGGGACTTATACCTTCAAATGTAACCAATATCTAAGACATCAAACACAGGGGGACATCGAGGCAAGCATCTCAACCCAGTCCGCATATGCATTTATTTATTGAAGTGCATCATATTTCTACCACATTGCCGTGGCAGAGGCTCAGACTTCATCAGTTACAGTCAACCTCTCCCAGCTTATTGCGGAGTGCCCACCATTGCTCCCTGAAATGATGAACAACTTGTTTGGGATTGTTATGTTCGAGAACCTTGGGAATCAATGGAGCCTTAACAGACCAATGTTGAGCTTGATACTAATCAATGAGCAGAAATTTTCAGATAAGCAAGATATGAATCAATTTATGTTTCATTTCTTTCCACCTTGAGGACAAGGTGAGAGTTGGGGGGGCAGGTTGCTATCTGGTATGTATGTTAGGAAGAGTAACGTCATAATAATGATGGAATAGTAGTAAACAAGAGGTTCAGGGCAATATAGAAAATATGGGCATTCTGTTACAAAGGGGGACAGCTGTAGAAATGATAAAAAGGGTAAATAATAGTCTGTTAAATAGGTAAGAGGGGGTAGGAGAAGGGCATGTGATTTGTGAGTTTGTTGGCATGAGCCTGGAGAGCTTCAACCTCTCGAAGAGTTGGAAACCCTTGTAATCATTAGATTTTGAGGGATTGAATATGATTGTATCTCTGCAATTTACTACTACTCACTGTAGAGTACATCAAAGGCTTCCTAAAGGCTAGTTAGGGGCTTATTCCATAGAATACGACCACATACAGAATCTAGGTCCTTGTTTAAGCCTAAAAGAACCTTAGACGTCCTTTAGTTCCAAACCTTGCTTATACAATGCAACATCATCCATGGAAATGTCTCGAATATGTCCAAATGTTGCCAATGATGAACAAGAGTGTTGTAGTATACTAGTATTGAGTCACATATTGCTCACGTTGGCAGAGATCAAATAGAATAGATACAATTTGAAATAATTCAGATGTATTTTCAAAACTGGAATACATTTCCCTTGCTACATCCATATCTCCTTTGTGGTGCTAAATATAAAAAAAAATGTCTCACCAATACCATGATTCATTGAATTGACGAGCCACATAATTATGTTGTTTTCAATCTCCCACTTGCTAAACCATGAATTAAGTGTAGCTGACATGATTGCCTCACTTCTGAGATAATAATTTGTTCCCTTGCCACAGAAACATCATAATTAATTGGGATCATGCCAAAAGTAGTGGCCCTTTAATTTGTTATACGTAATCTAGGAGACAGATGAGTCTAGATTTCCTCCATGGCCAATATTCTCCCCAGATGCAGAGAACTAAGATGATGCATCTAAGTTATCAGATTGAACATGCACAGCTAGTAGGACTAAAGAGACTTGGAATATCTTATGCCTAGAACAATGACTGTAGGCAGAATTTATGTGGGTCACTTGACCACATAACCTAAAAATGTAACTCCACCGGTGACCCCGTCCACTGGTAGTTCAATTTTTCTCAATAACAAGATTATTCACAATTACTCCTAGCAAATAATGGATTTCTTTTAACAAACTTGAGCACCAGATGATGATTGTGGAAAAAGAAGGTATAGAGTAAGAGTGCATGTTGGCCAGACATCTGTGCTTTTCAATGAGCAAAACTGGCATCAAAACATGTCGTAGAAACCTGAAAACATAACCAAAGAGGAGAGAAATTAACATTATACGTACATCCATGAAGATTTTGTCTGTAGGTGAAGGCGACCAATTTGAGTGAACTAACGTATCTCCAAATTTGCCAACCATATATCAACATGTATGCATTTCAAAAACACTAACATATTTTTTCACAGAAGACCATGTGATCTATGTACCATCTTGTACAAAGTTGCTTAAGCAAACAATTTTTGTAGACCATAGAAAACAAGTTCCAAAAGCCGAGTTTATCTAAATGAAGCATACAAGATTACATACAATAATACAAGGTGGAATGAGGGGTTCACATACCTGGGGGCACAATAGACAGGTTTGGAGTACTATTAACCATGCAATCAACAAATTTTGAACACCATCCACAATCATACAGTGAAATATGCGCCCATTCCCTGTGAAAGGGAGATGTAAAATAACTACGAAACCCACCTTGCCAAGTCCCAGCAACTCAATGTGTATGGAACACTGGTCACAATCTGCATTATGGTTGCACACTTGCACAAACAGAAGTTATAAGGTGTATCTTAGTTCTTGTAAGGTCACCAAAAACATCCCAGCTACTCAATGTGAGAGAGATCAATGTACATGAAACACTGCAAATGATCTGCATCATGGTTGCACAAACAGAAGTTTTAAGTTCAAACATAGTTCTTGTAAGGTCACAAGAAAATGGTAGTAAACGGATGATCACACCACAAATCACGCTGACCTCTCTCTTGTAAGGTTTACGGTTTTACCCTACTAAGTAGCCACCAGCCAATTCATGCATGTTCAAAAGGAGAAGCCTTATTGTTGCTACAAGTGTAATATGTTTCTCGTGCGTAACTAATGCATACCTCTTGTATAGCATATTGGTAATCCACATGTAACACAAACTTTTATTTGTATTTTATTGAATGTTGATAAGAGGATATTTATACTTTCAAAGATGGGTAGCAATGACAAGATTGATATTCTTCTTCCCCTAGCAATAGAAGTATTATAGGCAATCTAATTGAAACACAAGTAAGCATGCACGGTGTTCTAGAAGGGAGAGAAAGCAAGGGAGTGCATAACAAAGCTAGTCTTTTAAACAAGCCATTAATGAAAAAAGGCCTGTTACTACTACAAAAACATAAATTTCCACCTACAACCCAACACCCTCCACCCTGTCGCAATACACATACAAGGACCATAACATGTGATGCCTATTACTTGGTAGTTGGTACAATATGTTAACGAAATACTGAAAGCTTGTAACAGATGAGGTTAGAGAAAGAAATATCTAAAGAGGGAAAGTAAGAGAGAAAATTGTACTCCCTCCATCCCAAATTAAGTGTCCATGTTTCTAGTTTAGTTTGTCCCAAAATTGGTGTCTACTTTCAAAAGTAAGTTTCTATATTCCCATTTTACCCTTAATTATGAGATGGAAAAAGTTTCTCTTTATTATCAAGGGTAAAACTGTCATTTAGTTATTTAAAAAGTGTAATAATTACATATTTCTATAACTTTGTGTCCTTTTCATTTTGGACATTTATTTTGGGACGGAGGGAATATCAAGTATTATGACACTAATTACAAAGTGAATACAACAGTGCTATTTAGACTACATAGGTGTTAGTTCTCAAGACTTCATAAGTATATGCCACAAAAGCAGCATAAAGGATGACATGGATATATTTAATACACTATAAATACCACGAGTTCTAGCACAACCAAGGGATGAGATAATAGCAAAGATGTGTTAGGAGGCAAACCTAGAACATACATATAGAGTCTTTGCATGTGTGTGCACATGGGCATCCCAATCCTTGGTAGTCCGTTAAACACCATGTTTAACATATTATCATATTTCAATCTTTGTTATTCTTTTGCTTTTACCATCATTCTTGACTTTGATGGCCTAAATGTGAACGGTTATAGTTTAATTAATGATGGATAATGAACAATTAGACCAAAAAACACAAGTTGCAATTGCTTGATTGATTGAAATCGAATGATTTCAGATATAAGAGCAGTTAGAGACGCTGGGTCTCTCCAAGGCTTAAGCCAGAATATTACAATAAACAATACCCCACTCAAAACCCCCCCGCTAACCTTATAACCCCACTAGCCCAGCTGCCTTTCCCCACTTACACACTTACCGAGAATACAAAACCCAAAAGACCCCAACCCTTTCTTTCTGCTTGAGTACGTAAAAATTGTATCTCAGGTCTAACAATACCCCACCGGCCATCATTGACCTTGTCCTCAAGGAAAAATTCAGAAATTTGTGCATCACTGCCTCAAAACTCTCCAAGGAGGCCTCAAAAAGTGGTAAACCTTGCCACTTTATTAGCAGTTCCAACTCTCCTGGGGTGTTGGATCGCCACTGAAGTACCGCTTTTGGTGTCACTACTAACTCCAAGTCATCATTTAGCTGCAAAAGAATAGTGTCGGATGAACTAGACTGGCCAATAGCTCGTCTCAGCTGTGAAACATGAAAAACCGGATGAATTTTAGTCATAGGTGGCAATTTCAGCCGATATCCTACCTTCCCCACACATTCCAACACCTCAATGGGACCGTAGAAACAAGCTGCTAGTTTCTCACTCCGTCGTTCTCGTAGAGACTTCTGTCTATAAGGCCTTAATTTCAAAAAGATTGTCTCTACTTCAAATCGAACATCTTCTCGATGCTTGTCGGCATGTTGTTTCATCTTTTTGTTGAGCCCAAATCAAATGCAACTGAAGCTCATCAAGCATGTAATCCCTCTCCAAGAATATTTCATCTATTGATTGTATGCTTGAGGCTCCCTCCTTCTACTTCAAGACGGATGGAGGTTGATACGAAATTGAAACTTGAAAGAACAATTGAACACAGAAGACAAGGAAGAAAGGTATGATTTGAATTAAAACTTGGAATGAACAAAATTACAATCAAAAAGTCCAGGGATAATCCCTCTCTCACAACCATAAGGTTGGAGCCTCAAACAACCATAAATGAAAAATAACAGAATGAATGATCATGCGATCTTCCTTCCCTTTATTCTTCTCTCTCTTCTAACTGACCTCAGCCACTTGCCTCATTCCCTTTGTTGTCATTTCCCCTTTTTGCCCTTCTAGAATACACCTTTAATATCCTGGGTTGGTTTGCATTGGAACTAATTAACTCCCCATCCGTATCATTACTCCCCCCTTCCAACAAAGTCTTGTCCTCAAGACTTGTACACTGACTTTGGATCGATAAGGCATCTTCCCACGTTGCCTCATCCACTGGGCTATCCCTCCGTTGAATCAACCATTGCACCACATCTTCATTATGAACTTTGACCGTACGAGATGCTAATACAGCAGCAGGAATGATCATATCAGTGGTATTTAAATCCAATTCAGGTGGTAAAACAGCGTCAGCAGGACCATGGACAGCTTTCTTTAACAATGACACGTGAAACACAGGATGTACTTTTGAAGGAGGAGGTAAATGCAACTTATATGCCACCGGTCCAATCTTATCTGTGATTTGAAACGGCCCAAAAAAATGCACTGCCAACTTCTGATGGATTCGACTAGACACAGAAAGCTGTCGATACGGCTTTAGTTTCACATACACCCACTCCCCAATAGAAAAATGCACTTCTCTTCGCTTCTTATCTGCATTCTGTTTCATAATTTCTTGAGCACGTAACAGATGAACATGAAGTTGTCGTAATGCTTCATCTCTATCTTGTAATTCATCTAACACCTGTTGAACTCGGATTTCACCCGGTATGAACTGTGTTACTGTTGGAGGTTTCCTGCCATACACTAGTCCAAAGGGGGACTTTCCAGTTGATTCATGAAAGGTCGAGTTGTACCAAATTCTGCCCAAGGGATCCATAACAACCAAGAACGAGGTTGATCCACTGCAAAGCATTGCAGATATGTTTCCAAACAGCGGTTAATGACCTCCGTTTGACCATCAGATTCCGGATGATAGGTTGAACTCGTGCAGTTCAGTAACCTGAGAACGAAAATTTTCTTGCCAAAACCGGCTCAAAAACAACGGGTCACGATCAATGACTATAGACTTGGAAATTCCATGATGGCGAACCCCCTCTCTTACAAAAACATCAGCCACAGACTTGGCAGTGTACGGGTGTTTAAGCATAATAAAGTGACTGTATTTCGACAATCTGTTCACCACTACTAAAATCGCATCAAATCCTTTTGACTTAGGTAATCCCAAGATAAAATCCATTGATATATGTTCCCAAATAACATCAGGAATGTCTAAAGGCTGTAACAACCGTCCCAGAGCAGTCGAACTCGCTTTACACCGCTGACAGACATCACAAGCTCGAACGAATTGTTAGAATCTTTCAATCATTCCTGGCCAGTACAAGTTCCCTGCTAAACGGCGATATGTACGATAGTACACGGAGTGACCCCCCGAAGCTGACTGATGGAATTCTTTTAACAGAGAAGGGATGTACTTCGAAGTTTTTGGAATAACTAACCTGCCTTTGTAATATAGCACCCCATTTCGAACCGTATACCCTCCAAAATCACACGTAGTAGGGACGATATGGGAGACAATACCAACCTATCCTTGTCCCATAGTAACTCCTGCCGGACAGCAAACCCTTTATGTTCCCTTGTTCCCAATCGTATCTCTTCTTTAATCTGCCCCAACAACTCATCTTTATTCACCTCATCTCTAATAACATCCCGTTGACGCCATTGTGGTCCTCCCATCACTCAACACTCCACACCTCGTCGAGACAAAGCATCAGCTGCCAGATTATTCCGACCTGCTTTATAAACAATGTCAAAATCGTACCCCAACAACTTGAATAGCCATTTCTAGTATTGGGGCTCGACCACCGCTGCTCTGGTAAAAATTTCAGACTCTGTTGGCCTGCCCTAACAATGAAACGTCTTCCTAACAAAGAAGCACGCCATTTCAAAACTGCAAACATGATTGCCATTAATTCTTTTTCATAAATGGCTTCCTATTGGGCTTGCATACCCAACAAGCTGTAAAAAGTTATTGGACGCTCATTTTGCATTAACGCAACACCAACTCCTCCTCTCGATGCATCTGTATCAATGATGAATGGTCGTGTGAAACTGGTAGGTGAGTACTGGGGCTTCTTTTAGCGCTTTCTTGAGTGTCTCAAATGCTATTGTGTCTTCCTCATTCCATCAAAAATTATTCTTCGTCAGTAAGTCGGTAAGAGGACTTGCAATCTACCCATAACCAGCAATAAATTTCCTATAGTAGTGGGATAATCCTAAGAATCCTCATAGTTGATTAATGATTCGGGGTTGAGGCCAACTTCGCATTGCTTATACCTTAGATTTGTCCATAGTGACCCCTTCAGCTGAGATTATATGACCTAAATAACCCAAATCCGTTCTTCCAAATTCACCCTTCTTGTTCACATCAAATTTATGTTGCAACAATGGCCCGAAGTCTTTTCTTAAATGCCCACTATGCTCCTCCTCGGTCTTATTGTAGACCAAAATGTCGTCAAATAACACTAGAACAAACTTCCTTAAGAAACGCGAAAAGACTTCATTCATCAATGATTGAAATGTCGCTACGCCGCTAGAGCATTTGTTAACCCAAAAGGCATTACGAGGAATTCATAATGGCCTTCAT